AATAAAGATCTGTAATTCTCTGACCTGTATAAAAATCAAAGCCTCACTAAATTATAAGGAGCCCTGTAGATATTTAGCCTTTGGCACTTAGGTGTAAGAAAGATTAAATTAGAAATAAGCTTATGTAAGCGTATCTGTCAACTTTACTGTGGATTGGCAAGCATTTGAATGGAAAACATTTGGATGGTAATTGGAAAATTCTCAAAGGATTAAACTTTTTAAATTATATGTGCTAAAGGTAAAAACTTGTTTCTTTTTATATTATACTCTGTAGTATTCATATTAGGCCACTTGTTAACTATTCTTCCCACATCTGTTCTTTTCCCTTATTTTCTTTACATACAGAATACTCATTCAAATCCACACTTTGTTACAGATGCAGATTAAGAACCAGTCGGTCCTATAGGAGCCATAAATCAGGATAGGCTTTAAAAGTGGCCTTAGTTCTAGACCTATCCCAACTATGGAAGAATAGTTCTTCTATGCTATCTGGGATTAAACAATATCCTTTACCTCTTTAAAATAAAATAAGAAATCTCTTTCACCTCTTTTTTTTTTTAAGGGTGTTCTGTTTTTGGTTTTTGTTCTGTTTTGTTTTTAAATGTACTCTTAATGAGATGGATGATCTCGGCCTTTATAAGAAATAAGTTGTTCAGCTGGTTTTGATAGGAGTTACAGCAGCAGTCTGCCTCGTTTTTCAGATAGTGGAAATGCTAGCCAATAATTTGGTCTTGTCTTCTCTTTTTCAAGCTTCTGTCCTTCAATTCTAATGTAAGACTTCACGTGTGAAAAAAAAAAGGAGGGGAATGAAAGTATAGGAGAGAGAAATAAACTTCTAACAGCAGATGTATTACCCTTTCTATGCCAGTGTCTCATATATTCTTTAGTACACTGAGAAGATGAGCTCTAAAGCTCAACTTGTGATTTGACAAATTCAAATAGACTAAAAATAAAACACTTGGGTCCTGTGTACCATGCTAATCCTCAGTCACAGGCTCAAATTCTAGTTCAACCATGTACTAACCTTGAAAGACAGGCATGTTCCCTTAACTTGTTTTCCTCATCTCTAACAGATTATTAATAGTCCTTGAGGTTATCATGACAACTAGATGAAATTATTTATGTAAACCATATAGCTCAGTGCTTGGCCTCATAGTGCTTCATTGACATTTCTGCAGTGACTACTTTTAGTGCTCCTCTGAACATTGAAATCTAGTTGCTAAAACGATTTATTTTGAGTGGATAGCAACAACAATAAAAAGTTTTTAATTGTTCCAGAGCTTAAAATTCATGCAGAGCTTGTTATGTCTTCAAGTTAGATATAGGACAGTGTGAAAAAAACTATAGGGGCCAAAAAAACAAATCTCCCAAAGCCTATCTTTGTATCCATTTAAAATGAATCAGTTACAAGGCAGAACTTTAACTCTTCACTATAGATCACTTTATTACAAGAATCAACTCCAATCCACTTAATGGGCAATATATGTAATTACACTTTCAGGTCTCTACAGAAGGTAGGTGACTAATTTTATGAAATGGAGAGTAAATTTTCAGAAAGAAGTAAAAAGCCTAAGGAGGGAGAGAACCCAACATATGTCATCTGACTTGTTTTATCATCTTTAGCTTTAGAATGTCCTTTCCTTTAAAAACAAAACAAAACAAAACATTTTTTCCAAGAACCAAATCAAAAGACCAAACCACTACCATCTAGTCAGTGCTGACATGTAGCATCCCTGTAGGACAGGGTCGACCTGCCCCTGTGAGTTTCTGAGACTCCAACACTTTACAGAAGCAGAAAGCCCTGTCTTCCTGCTGAGTGGCTGGTGGCGTCAAGCTGCACATCTTGCTGATCATTTTAGAGATAAGGAAATTGAGGCCCAGTGGAGTTTTTTAATTTGTCAAGGTTTTCTAAGTTAAGTGGTAAAGTTGGGATTCAAACTCAATTTTGATATGAGGACACAACTGTTTTACTCAGCTATTTTTGTTGCACCGATCATTCCCTGAATAGACTAGTTAAATTTTTAAAGAATTTCTCTCCATTAATAAGTTTTTACATAGCATATATAATATTTATCTTAAGTTTTTAAACTGTTTCACATAAGTAAATGTCTTCATTAATAGAAAAGTGTTCTTTGAGGCACCAAAATTTTTAACATGTGAAGCATTTATGGAGAATACCACTGTTGTCTTCTAGCAAAGGGTCTTGAACCTAATTTGATTCATGGAAATAGCTTGGGTAAGCTGCAGTAAGAACAGTAGTTTTGGTTTTGGATAGGATCCCAAACTTATTGGCTTACCACCCCCCTTTTCAGGAAAAAAAAATTACTAAGCACCCCCTTGCATTTAAAAACTTTTATACAATAAGCCCATAACCCAGATTAAAGTATAGGTATCTACTTTTGCAGGTCCCCACCCCAGCCCACCCCTGGATCATTGCAGCACCCCCCAGGGGGATGTTATGGCCCACTTTGGGCAACACTGGCTTAGAGCTACATTCTCAGGTGGTTCTTGTCCACCAGTCAGTTCCTACCCATGGTGGTCCTTTGAGCTGAGCTGAGCTCAAGAGGGTTGTCAAGGCTGTGATCTTTCCAAAACAGATCGCCAGGTCTGTTTCCTTAGGCCCTTATGGGTGAGTTTAGCTAGCATTCAAACACTTACCCTGCTCTCTGGGTGAGTCAGGTAAGCACCTCTGTAGTAAACTGTCCTGGGCAGCTTGCTTATTTTCAGTTCTTTGTCTCTCTTATTTAAGTTAGTTGCTTGGTTGTTTCCCTCTTTTCCATGCCTGCTCCACACTGTTAGTGGTGAGCTACCTACAGTAGGCTCTCTTAAATAATTGCTTTTTCTTCTCTGATGTAGGCTTTTTTTTTTTTAATGAAGGAAGCAGTCTAGGAATGGACTTTTAAGGGACTCTTATGTAACCAAATCTCCAGTATGCATGCATGACTGCTCTAGATACATTTTTGTCCATTTTCTGTGCTTTAGATTATTTTACCAGAGGGAGCCATACACATTGTTGTTGTTTGTTATTTAATGATGGTGATGATGACAGTGACACTACCCCTAACAGCATTTACTAAACTCCTATGTGTATAATGCAAAATATTTTCCATATATGTCTCTATCTTGTATGTTACCTCTAATCTTCACAATAAGTCTGCACATGGATTGTACTGTCCTCATTTTACAGATAAGGAAATTGAGGCCCAGTGGAATTTTTTTAATTTGCCACGATTCACTAAATTAATTGGTAAAGCTGGGATTCAAAATCAGTTTTCATGAGAATATCATATTTTAGCCCAAGATTAGTTCTAAGAAGTATTGATTACATTGACAGTGGATTTGGGGTCATTCTCAGGTTGAAGTATAGTGTATTTCACTAAAAATTTATTGATGATTTTTAACATATTTCATAGTTTTTGATAAATGTATAAGCTCTAAAAAGTTTTTTCAAGCAAGTACCGCATTGTAGGTTACGGGTAAAACCTTAATAAGAAGACTCCCATTCTCCCCTAGTCATTAATCTCTTTTCAAAACCCCTTCCTAGTAATGTCACTAGCATTTTATGCTTCCCACTATTCCCCAGGGAGTATTACCTCAAGACCAGTCATTGCTCAGGAATGACCAGAAGCATTTGGAAGCCTGTCTCATATATGCCTCCCTCTTCACCTACAAAATTGTGCAATTACTGACTGATATTTCTTCAGCACCCACATGTACTGAGAATGCCATTGTGATAGAACTTGAATCTGAACTCTATCTCAATCTTTGATTAATAACCAAGTATTTAGTATTTGAGTTTTGCATGTATTTTGAGGGGTTGGCCACAAGGTTTAGAATTCTTGTAATAGTGATTGAATATGTGACTTAAGATTTTTGTTCAGTTAGTCTCTTTAGCCAATATGTGTTTATCACAGATTTATTAGGGGCAACTGATTTAGTCGAAAGGGCCCTTAGAGAT